TCACTTAGGCACACACACACATATACATATGTTAACCATTGAGAAACACAAGTGCTGCCCCAGATGGAAAGGTAATTGTCCCTGGGAGTGCATAAATGAGGTCACTGTTAGCAGTGAGAAGACATTTTCTGGTTATTACCAGAGAAATTAAATTCCTAATACTCAAAGTAAAATATTTGCAAACAACACAGAAGCTTACTGAAGGTCCGATTTTGAGGCTTGTTGTCACCTTCTCTTTCCTTTTAAGCTCCTCCCAGTGCAATCTGCGGTCTAGTGTGCCTCAGTGTTTAGAAATCTCTTTGGGCTCTTTTTTTGTGAATGCTTATGGAGAATGATTAAAAACTCCAGAGCCATTTTTATTTCTTATCCAGGAACATTACTTGAATAAAGTTTGATTACACACGGAGATGAGTGGCAAGAGGTCAGGATGGTGGTGATGCTATACTGATTAGACATTTTGAAGAAATTTGTATTTTATTTTTTAAAATTATATTTATTGGGGTGACATGGTTAATAAGATGATACAGGTTTTGATTGTACAGTTCTATTGTATATAATCTATATATTACATTCTCTGCCCTCCACCCAAAGTTATACCTTCTGTCACCAAACTGTCCACGCTTCCATCTGGTGACCACCATACTATTGTCTGTGTCTGTGAGTTTTTATTTGTTTTTCCTGTTTGTCCATTTGTTCATATGAGTGAAATAATAAGGTTCTTAACATTTTTCTATCTGACATTTTGCTTAGCATGATATTCTCAAGATCACCCATGTCGCAAATGGCTGTATTTAATCTTTTCTTTGGCTGAGAAGAATTCCATTGTATATATGTACCTCATCCTCTTTATACAGTCTGCTAGTGAAGGACACTTGGGTTGCTTCCATGTCTTCCCTACCATGAATAGTGCTGCAATGAACATAAGGGTGCATATATCTTGGCAAAGGAGACCTACAGATGGCCAACAGATACATGAAAAGATGCTGAACTTCACTAGCTATTAAGGAAATGCAAATCAAAACTACAGTGAGATACCACCCCACACCTATTATTATAGAATGGCTCAACAAGACAATAGCAAGTGTTGGAGAGGTTGTGGAGAAAAAGGAACCCTCATTCAGTGCTGGTGGGAATGTAAACTGGTACAGCCACTATGGAAAACAGTATGGAGGCTCCTCAAAAAAATTATGAGTAGAGGTACCATATGACTCAGCAACCCCTCTTCTGAGTACCTGGAAAATTAGAAACTTGTATTTTAAAGCTCTTTCATAGGCTAAAAAAAAAAAAAAAAAAAAAAAAAAATCCATATTAACAAATCACCATAATTAAATAAATTCTTTATCCCTAAGAATATTTCTATATATTGTAACTCAGATTGAGGACTTATTTTAATTAAACTATCCATATCAATGATGCTGAACAAGTAGGTAGTTATTGAATTAGCATGTGGTGATGAAACATTTGGAAGTGAGTGTGATGGAAAACTGCCATCCAAGGCAATTTGGGGTTTCAATTCAAAATCTAAAATTCTAATATTTAGAGAAAACATATCAATTTAAATAAATACGATGTTAGTAATCTATACAAAGTGCTTGCAAATAAAAAGATGTGTTTTGGCAAGATGCTGACATTCTCCAGTGTATTCCTCCCAAATTTAGCTTTTGTTCAAATGGCTACATTTAAGAGATGGAAAAGGTCTGGTGGGACAGATGCTGGATTTACAACTCAAACTGTAGTTCCTTTTGAGATTATAGAAACAACCTTAAGTTTAAAGAAAATGGGGCTTTGTATTCTTCTGTCACAGCAGTTTCATTTGAAACCCTGGATGCAGGCTGAGTTTTCGAGAAGTAGCTGTGATACAGATCCACTGTGTCTAAGACACCAGGCTTCTTTATTTTCTCTTTCATGAAAATAAATTAAAAAGTTTCTCAAACAGGTGAAAAATGTGCCTAAAACTCAGCAGCAAATGCTAATAAACACTTTTGAAAAAAGTATGAGTGTATTAAATCTAGACCTTGTCCATAATTTCAGGGGAATAATTATAAGGAAATATTTGTAGGACCAATAAAAGTGTATTCAGGGGTGGGCAAAAGTAGGGTTATAGTTCTAATACCAATAAATACAATAAATAATAATAATACAAGAGTAAACTGTGTTTCACCTACTCACAGCTGTAAACTACTTTTGCTCACCCCTGGAGTTGAGAAAGCCTTTCTGGGTCACCCCAGTCTTAAACAGGAAGTGGAGAAAGTTGCACTTATTGACTATCAAAAATGGGACTCACTGAGTGAATGCCAATGTTTTATGTGCTACTCAACCATATCTATCTGTCTGTCTGTCTGTCTATTCATTTATAATCCTCATCTCAGTATATTTTGAGAGAGAGAGGGAGGGAGGGAGGGAGGGAGGGAGGGAGGGAGAGAGAGAGAGAGAGAGAGAGAGAGAGAGAGAGAGAGAGAGAGAGAGAGAGAGGTATGAAAGAGAAACATCCATTGGTTGCCTTCCATACATGCCCAACTGGGGATCGAACCTGAAACCTGGGTATGTGCCCTGAACAGGAACCAAACCCACAACCTTTTGGCATATGGGATGATGCTCCAACCACTGAGCCACTTGGCCAGGGCAACCAGAATTTATGTTTAAAGGAATACATATGGCTCTTCTGGTGTGGAGACTTTGCCTAAAGGAACATAAATTAGAAATCTATCAGCAATTGTCCACAGATTGGTATTTCAAGTTCTCAAGCAGATACTTCATTAGCCAGAGTTAGACTTCCTTGAGGTTATGTTAGGGGCCTTATATTTGGAAGTAAGTGGTTGCTATAGCAGAAGGGAGCACAGGTTTGCATTGTCATAGGATTTTTTTTTTTTTTTTTTTTTAACAATTTGAATGATTGGATTGGATTGTTAAAAAACATAAGTTTTATTCTATCCTACTGTATCTTTGACATCCGCTGTGATTACATGCAAGGTTGGAAATAAATAACGAGGTAGCTGTCAGCCCACTTTTCAGGTCAGAGCTTTTTGTGATTATTTAGCCTTCAGCTGGGTTGCTGCTGAAACTTCAGGGCTGTTGGATTCCCTCTGATTCCTTACCTAAATGATGGTGGTTTTAAATTAATAAAAATGACTATACAGCCCCAAGATACAATCGAGATGTTTCTCCTGGTAGAAAATTTGGGGGAATAATTAGAAATAGTATGCTGGATTTTTTATGTTAACAGCTTTGTTGCGATATAGTTGATATACCTATACCACAGCATTTACCCTGATCATTTTTTAAATAAAGGGGAAATATTGATAGATGTCTCACTATGAGCTACTTCCTTCTATTTTAAAGCATAATTAAAAACATATACTTTCACAAGTAAGATTACCTTTTTGGTAATAGTGAGATGATTTATAGCATTTCTGAATCTTAAGCGAGCAAGACTTGAGTGGACCGGGAAGAGTGGTACCCTGTGTTGGAGAAAGAGAATTCACATGGGCTACACAAATGCTTAAACATGCTGGCCAATGTCAGTGTTGGGAAATACTAAAACATTCCATTGAGGTGTAAGCAATAATCAAGTTTAAAGTAATTACTAGGGAAAACATCTTTTGGGGTGTAGGTAGGGTGGTACCTGATGAGAATTGTCCTGCTTTCATGATGAATCTTTGCTTTTTTCTATTTAGAGCTTATTACACTATTTAAACTTTTGTGTGTGTGTGTGCCAAGTATAGCATAGGTACATAGGTGAAACACAAGGAAAGCATAACAAGTAGGATGAAGCTAGCACCCATGTCCTACTTGGGTCAGGAAACAGAACATTGCTAACCTCTCAAGGAATACTTCGTATTTCCCTTTCCTCACCGTAGTCCTCCAGCTAGTCATCTCTCGCTCTCTCACTCTCTTTCTCTCTACTCTAAACTCCCTTCCTCTTTTCCCTTCCTCCCTCCCTCCCTCCCTCTCTCTATTACACACACACACACACACACACACACACACACACACGGACATAAATAAAACCATTAAAGATGATTTAATTTTGCCTGTTTTGTGTAAATCTGTAATAAATGAAATCATGTGTTCTTTTTGTCTTAACATCAGCTTTATAGGACCCGTCTATGTAGGAGCATGCGGTGCACGCTGGGCAGTTACTCATTTCCATTGTGATAGTCGGTTGAATGAACATAGTATGAGTATTTATCCACCCACTTTATAGTTTGTGGGCATTTATGCTCTACCCAGTGTTTTACTACTGCTTATTATGCTGCTTTGGACTTTATAGTCTATAAAATCCAACACACACGGGCATGAGTTTCTCAAAGTGTAGTTCCTCCATCTGCTGCATCAGCATAAAGCTTGCTGGAATGCAGATTCCGGGGTTCCACGTCAGGTCTGTTTTCAAATAGCGTATATATAAAATATGCTCATTTCAATGATGGTGGTTTTGCTTAAACTAGAAGATTGTGGGTCTTCTACTTTAGGCTGCCCTGGGACCCCATGAGCGATCACACGCATGGGTATGCTTACACACAAATGCACGCTCACTCCAGTCTCTTAGCAATGGACTCTTGACTCATTTTTGAAATAGAGAGGTTTTATCGCGTTGGAGTCAAGTTTTGAATGTTTTTTTGTTTCCCTAAAGAATTAATAAATATTCAAAAAAGATTTGCTAACATTAAAGATTTCAAAAGAGCACGCAGCAGACTGAGGACCTGCTGGAAGAGCACATGGTTGCAGGTTGGGCAGAACATTATTCCGGGGATGAGAGCTGCAGAGAAAGCAGGACTGACAGCTGCCTTACCTGAGGGAAACGCCGGATTGCTCTGAGCCTCAGTTCTCTCCTTTGCAGAGAGGACACCATCCTTAGGACACCGTGATTATTTGATTATTTGCCACATCTGTTCTGTGGGTTCCTTTCAGCCTTGGATCGGCGTATGAACCTGTGTGAGCATGGCTGGTTGTCATGCCTTCATACACGCGGTGTTTTTACTTTGTTTTTGTGCTTCCTGCAGGAACGGTTCCAGGTGAAGAATCCTCCCCACACGTACATTCAGAAGCTCAAAGGCTATCTGGACCCCGCTGTAACCAGGAAGGTAAGAGGGATCGATTTCCACTCTTTGTCCCCGCGGCCCCAGGAGCAGGCAGAACCCTCTGCCCTGGGGGAGACCTTCCTTCCTCTGCGCTGTGGCCTGTGCCATGGCCTCCAGAGAAACAGTCTAGAGTCCGACATGAGAAGACAAAGGGAGAAGCTGTCCTGCTCACGTGAGGGTGTGTGTAAAGAGCTTTCCTGGGAGGGGAGGCCCTCCCCTCTGGTGGCCACTGAGTCACTGCCGTGTGCGATTACGGTGTGGGGGCCCAGGAAAGCAGGCGGGCCGTGGCCGGCTTGTCTTTCACGTCCGGGTGCGTTTCCAGGGACCTTGACAAATCGCTGGGCTTTGTCATCCCAGCTGTGCTCTCACATCCTGTGTTGATGCTTTTAGCAGCTTCCCCGCCCCGGCCCTGCCCCCGGCCCCAAGAAGGTGAGGAGAGAATAAGCTCGCTCCGTTCTCGACAGACGCTCCCCTTTCACAGACAAGCCCCGCTTTGTGCAGCCGCACAATTGGCTCACACGGCTGCCTCGTGGTCAGGCCTGCAGCCTGGCACGGCCCCGGGCCTCGGGCGGGCCTGGGACATCTCGGGGCAGAGCCGTCCCTGCTAAGATGGGTAAAGGGCTCCTCTGCAGCCAGTGCTTGTTTTTCGGTTGACCTACCACGACTCCTGCTTTCAAGGCTGCAAGGAGAATATCTGGAGCTGAATCCTCTCTGTGTGGCCCCTGAGAGAAGAAAGGCACACTTTTTCTAGTGAGCCGCTGTTTCCAGGGCCCTTGGCTCTTGTATTAGAAAAAAAACCTTTTTATTTATTTTTTTGCTTTCACTCACCCTCCGGTGCCCCCTTTCAAAAAAAAAAAAAAAAAAAAAAAAAAAAAAAAAAAAAAAAGCTAAGCAAAGGAAAGCAGCTATTATTTCCTCGTGGAATTTCATGGTTAACACGCAGGCAAGTGGAAATCACATTTTCACGTGACGATGAAATGGATGTAGACCTGTGCTGTCTGCTAGGCGCCAGATGGACTTCAATGACACAGCCTTGTCTTCTGTACCTGTCAAGTCTCATAGCATCCCCTCCCCTGCAACCCGCTCCCAAATATGGCACACACATGTTTGTTTTTCTAAAGGGCTTCTGTCAGATCCCCTCAGTGAGACAGCTGGGTAATTCTTTGTTTCATTCTTGTTCGTCTCCTCCCCCAAGGACGGAGCAGCCCCGGCCATCAGATTAGAGGGGGTTAAGGGAAGGCACACCCATACGCACAGCACACAAGCAGAAGGTCCCACGTGTTTTTCCGGGCCATTTCTTTGCCAGGGGCAGCAAACTTCTCTGTTAGAAACATTTCCAGGTATCCCCAGGCTTCCACACCTTCCTGCTGGATGGCTCACGCGTTAGGCACACCCCCCTAGCTGAGCGATGCAGAAATGCCGACGTCTGTCTGCAAGACTGAGAGCTTCCCTCACAGAGTGTGTCCCATCCCCAAACAGTTATCGCAACATTTGTCAGATTCTGAAAAGAAAGGGGACAATAGGTGAACTCCCGGAGAGCTTCTTAGACTCCAGCCCCAAACCCCACAGGGAGGGGGTTCCTCCTGGTATGTCCCAGCTCCCCTTTGGAACAATTTCTTCAGGGTTGAGGCAAAGAATATAAGACCAAAAATAACAATAATAATAATAACAAGCTGCTCAGAAAGTGTTTTTACTCCCTCCCAAATAATGATCAAGAGGCCCAAGACAATCGACGTCTGTTTGGCTGACCTTCAGTCTTGGCGCTAGGCCCTGTGCGTCCACCTGAGTGGCCTTGTTTGGTCTGTGCTTCATCTTTCACCATCAGTCATTGGGCGCAGAAAAAAACCCCGAAATGGATGTTGGATCCATCATCCCTGCTGCTCTGATTTCTGTTGTGAGCTGGCAGGAGGAAACGATCTGTTCCACTCAATCTAATGGTCATGCGCAAGGCCTGGGAAAAGGAGATTGTGTTTGGAATAAGGCATGGCTCGCAGTTAAAATGTGTTTCACATTCTCAGTGGTAATATGGAGGGGGAAACAAAAAGATTTCAAATCAGGGCCCCATAGTGTAGGCCCAACAGTCTCCCCTAAACTGCATTGAGAGTCCTCGGGTACTTCATTCATTGAGCTTTTGTTCATCTGGAACACAAGGTACTTCCTGTGCCATCTTCTGAAAAAATATTCTGACATCTATTCTACTTAGATTTTCTTCTAAATAGTTTCAAACCCTCCAGGGCAGGAAAGGAAGAGCCTACATGGGATGTCTCTGGGATCAGAACTCTCCAATCCAGCCTCCTCATTTCATACCCGGCAGTGCTTAGTCCGTGCTTTGGAGGTGGGAGGGGTTGCTCGCGTCTGGCCTGGGAAAGGCCGCAGACCAGGAAGAAGGGAGTCTGGTCCTCTGTGATGGTAAAATCTGTTGTCTCGGTCTCCAGGGCTCAGCTGCCTCCTTGGGCCCATCCCCACGCTGCGCCTTCCTCTTAGGGAGAGGCTGGTCAGGGGTGAAGACTGTAAGTGGATGGTACCCTGCTCCTTTTAGCAGGTCCCCACGGGCACACAATTTCTCTTTTAAAGCATTCTGCATCCATCGTAGAAGTGCAGAGTGTTGGCACTCAACTGTTTATGTGCTTAGCAAAGTGGGTGCCAAGCATCTCTGTAGTCTAGAATTCAGCTAAAAATCAAACAGTTCCCGAGAGAAGACAGTACAAGGGCAAAGTCAATTTAGTTTCACTTCAGGTCCTATGTAGTTGCCAAAGTGTAGTGCCTTACCGTAGTAAATGGCTAATAAATGCTGTCTGCTGCTGTCGTCCCCATTATCTGATAGTGTTGTTTTGATATATGCCACTTAGTTCCCCCGCAGGTTTTCTTTTATGCTCTATTATGTCCTCCTCGCTTCGCTGGGTGCCCTTGTGGCAGACAATGGCTGGAAGAGCTGCCCTTGACCCAAGGAAGCACGAGGCAGAGTTGGCCGGCAGAGGCCTCAGGAAACCAGTCAGAACTGTGCCACATGCATGGCCAGGAACACCGCGTTGTCTTCTGAAGGCCGCAGGTGTAGGCAGCCCAAGACTTGTGACTCTGGCATGGGAATGGCCCCTCGGGAGCAGCCAGCACATCTGGAAAGGTATCCTCACCTGCGTGGCCGTACTTAGACCCCCCTCCTCAGCAGCCCTCAGTGCTGGAGAGCTCTGCAGGAGGAAGCAGTAGGGTGTCCCTCCAAACTGTAGATGCTGCTGCCATTTCTTAGGTCTTTCTTGATAAAAGAGGGGAGTGTCTTCCTTTCTTCATTGTATTGAGGATGCTTTCATTTCATATATCCTACTGTACCTAAATTCTAAACAACCTGAGAAAGTCCTTGGGGTGCTTTAGGAACGGCATCCAGGGGAATCTGGGAGACTTTGCTTCCTTAGTGCCCTGGTGAGAAGCAAAGGGCCCTCAGAAGAGGAGAGAGGGACAGGAGCCGCCTGTACTGAGCAGGGTTCCGGGTCTTCACTGAGGCACCAGGTTCCACCCGTGGCATGGCCTGGCTCTCCCCAGCCCCACCCTGGAATCCTCCTGGCCAGGCTTTCTCCTCTCCTTCCTGCACTTGCACACCTCTGCCTTCGGAGCTGGATACCCCTATGCACCCTGCAGTGATGGCAGTAGACAGGGCTTTCTAATATCCTGAGCTAGAATCCTCACAGCCCTTTCCCGAGAACAGTGTAACATGACACGGTTTGGACCTACAGGACAGAAAGCATAGGGCTCTTCTTAGAAGGCGTGTCACATCAGATGTCCTTCCAGAGTGGCCCAAGACTTCAGTTATTGCGAATAAGTGCTTCTGTAGGAAATCGTGTTCCAAAGAACTGCTGTCCTGTGCAACCCAGTGAATCCTTGGAGGTTAGATAGAGTTGAGAGCAGAGAGGGGCGAGCACATTGACTATCAGAGGAGGATTCCTTGAAGAAGAAAGACATAAGGATGTTCTGTAAGGATCCAAAGGGTCCTAGAGGCATGGGAATGAGGAAAGACATTTCAAACGTACAAGGGAGGTGCTTGAGAACAGGGACCTTCCAAATGAGGGTTCTCGGGCAGAGATAACTCTGAATGTTTATTTTTGGAAGTGCTAGGTCATGCAGAAAGGAGTTAGCATAGCAAGCCTGCTACCTTAGAAATACCTGTTTGCAAGATTGGATCCTGGTTGTCAATTGGGAACTTGAATTTTGGGCGAGTCCCCCCCGCCAATTACCTGATAAGAACACTCCCAGTGCCCAACTTGTCTAAACAACAATATGGTTGATGGCGAATGCCTCTTTTCCTTCTGGGAGGCTGGACTGAGGTATGGGCCAGGCAGAGTGCCCAAGGGACCCACCCTCCAGTGAAAACCCTGGGCGCTGAGTCTCTGATGGCTTACCTGGCCGACAGCATTTCACGAAGACGGTCATTTGTGACTCCGCTGGGAGAAGACTCTTGGGAGCTTGTATCTGGTTTCCTCCAGACTTCACCTCAGCTATCATTTCCCTTCGCTGATTGTGCCTTGTATCTTCTTGGTCTAATAAATCCCAGTCAGAAGAACAGCTGTATGCTGAATCCTATGGAATCATTGACACTGGGATGATCTTAGGGACCTCAACATATAAATATATTGGTGAATATTGTATGGTGGGGTAAAGAGAAAATAATCTACTTAATGATACTTAGTACATGAAAAATCAGTAATTTTTTCCCAATCCTTTTGCGTCAGCTGATTTTCATGATGAGAAAAATGTGTGTGCTTTGCAAAAAGAAATGTGAGAAAAGCCCACTTCAGAAGCAGAGCTATTTTCATATTGTGTTAAATGGACTACAAGTAAGCTACAGTGTTAGCAGTTGCTAAAATGTGTTTTGTGAGAATATGTGTTTCTTGAATTATAGAAATTTAGACGGCGTGTTCAAGAATCCACACAAGTGCTAAGAGAACTGGAAATTTCCTTAAGAACCAACCATATCGGGTAAGTGTGCCGCCCATTTAACGTTTTAGCTCCAAGGCTTTTTTGAACACTTTACAAAGTGACTGTATCCTGTCCGAAGAGTTAAACTTCCTTACTGTTCCTTATAAGCTAGGAGGGTGGAACCTGTGTTGGTACTTGAGTTGCTCACTGTACAAAATTCAGTCCTTGGTTTGGGATATTTATAACCGTTGTAAAAGTTTCTTGCTTGGATATAGTAGTAAGTGCGCGGTCTCTTATGTGTATGATAATTCTTTGGCAAATTAGGACCCCCCTCGCCACCCCAACATGTAATGGGGAGAGATTCTGGAAGACCTCCGAACCTTTATGGGAGTTCTCCAAGCTGATTGTTTAAAATCGCTCCATTCTCCTTTCCTCGGTTCCCTGCCTTTCTGGCCAGAAGGGAACAGAGCTGGAGTGATGTCACCTGGTACACTTCATTGTACATAGATACTTTGTTCCGATCTCTTCTTCCTACATCTCACATTTGTAGGATCAGGAAATGTAAGTCCACTCTAGAAAATAAAATTTGAGGGATCTCGTCGCTAAGCATTTCTGAGTTTTCATGCAACCACATGATTGCTTTGCCTCAAGCAAGTATAACTTCATGACATTCTCACATATTCCTGATGGCATAATTCTTGAGTACTTTAAAATAAGATAGTTTACCTGCAAGGCATATCCTATTTTATAACCTGAGTTCTTCCTGAAGTTTTTGTTTAATATCCAGCAAGTTATTTAACCCTCTGGGCTTTAAATATTTGAGTTTTACAATAAAAAAACCTTTTAGGATTTTCCCCTTTGGCATTCTTTATAGGTCTTTTGGAAATGAGGTTTTACATACATATTATTTTATAGTTTTACAGAGTAGTCTGTAAAAAAAATATATTACATAAGTAACAGTTTACTTCTACTATAGACTGTGTTTGCTGTAAGCCATTCAAGTGGTTAATTTTCACAGTTATTTCAGCACTAGAGGCCCAGTACATGAAATTCGTGCATGGTGGTGGTGGTGGGGGGGTTTGTCCAGCCTGCACGCTCCGCAATCTGGGATCCCTCTCACAATCCAGGACTGCTGGTTCCCAACTGCTCACCTGCCTGCCTGATTGCCCCTAACTGCTTCTGCCTGCAAGCCTGATCACCCTCTAACCACTCCCCTGCAGCCTGATCAACGCCTAACTGCTCCCTTGCCGGCCTGATTGCCCCTAACTGCCCTCTCCTGCTGGTCTGGTTGCCCTTAAATGTCCTCCTATGCAGGCCTGGTTGCCCTCAGTCACCCCTAACTGTCCTCCCCTGCAGGTTGGTCTCTCTAACTACCCCCCTTCTACTCCCCCTGCTATCCTAGTCACCCCTAACTGCCCTGTCATGCTGGCCTGGTCACCCCTAACTGCCCTCTGCTGCAGGCCTTGTCTCCCCCAACTACCCTCCCTTACAGACCTGGTCTCCCCCAACTACCCTCCCTTGCAGGCCTTGTTGCCCCCAACTGCCCACCCTTGCAGGCTTGGTCCCCCCCAATGGCCCTTTTCTGCTGTCCCAATCACCCGTAACTGCCCTTCCTTGCAGGCCTGGTCCCTCCCAACTGCCCTCCTTGCTAGCCTGATTGCCCAGAACTGCCCTCCTATGCTGGCCATATTGTGTCCACATGAAGATGGCCATCTTTGACCACATGGGGGCAGCCATCTTGTGTGTTGGAGTGATGATCAGTTTGCATATTATCTCTTTATTATCTACACTAATAAAAGAGAAAGATGCAAATTGACCATACTTTCTTGACGCCCACCAGCCAATCAGGAATGAGTAAGCAAATTAACACAACAAAGATGGTGGGTTAATCTGCATATACAGGTGCTGAGCGGCCAGGGGTGGGATGCTTGAGCCCTTGCCATGGCAGTGACGCAAGCATTCCACACCACCCGAGCCCATTCGAGCCTCTGGGCAGCGTGGGAAGGCAGAAAGGCAGCTCCAAGTCAGAGCAAAGGCGGTGCTGTCAGCCAGGGGAAGGAAGGCTCATTCTTGCACGAATCTTCATGCATCATGCCTCTAGAATAGGATAAGCTTTTGCTGTTGTTGTAATCCTCACCCAAAGATATGTTTCCATTGATTTTTTTAAAGAGAGAGTGGGAGAGACACAGAGAGAAACGTTTATATGAAAAACATCTATGTGAGAGAGGCATCTATTGGTTTCCTCCTGCACACGGGTCAAACCTGCAACTGAAGTACACACCCTTGACCTGAACCCTTCAGTCCCTCAGCCAAAGCTCTATCCACTGAGCCAAACTAGCTAGGGCAAAATAAGCTTTTTAAATTGCAGAAATGCAGGATTAAAATGTTCATTTCCTAAAAGATAACTGCATGTATGTTTCCTTGAAAATGAAATATTCAAAAAATGAACCGATTCTAACCTAAAGTTGAAAATCACATTTATCCCAGAAAATGGGCTATAGAGCAGTGGGTCATAAAATCATGATTTAGAACTGGGAGAGAAATTAAGGATTACCTAGTTCCTCATTTTACAGATTAGAAGAATTAAGGACCAGAGAAGGTGTGTGACTCCCTCAAAATCTACAGCTGTAGAGCCAGATGCCTTGGATCAAAATGCTATGTTCTTTTTCTTATGTTCCTAATCTGGCAGCCCTTTCCCTGAAAGGAAGTAAGATAATCAGGGCTCTGGGATCAAAGCAATGAGGCTTGTCTTTTGGGGGTGAAAGTGGTGGTAAGTTAATATAGTTGGGCATCCAAGCTTAGGAAATTTACAGACTTTCCAATATTTGTGGATCAGGAGCTAGATTCCATTTGGTAAGATCCAACCCTGTACTGTTGGCACCGCTTCTTGACTGAATGATCTGCAGCCAGGATTTCTACAAATTGTCAAAAAAGCATTACTTCAGGCATTGCTGGAATAATGTGAAATTGACCATCAAATACCAAAGCAAGATGATCATTCCCAATACAAAGTTGGCTGACTGGTAGAGCCCTGGCTGGGTAGAAGCCAGTGCAAATCTGCAAGCAATTGGAATGGTCTGTTGTTTAGGATGCTGTGGGGTGTTGAAAGATTCTTACATTTCTTTCGTCTTCTCCAGCTGAAGTTTTCTGTGTTTATCACCTATCTGAGGCACTTTGAAAGCTTTGGCTTTAGCAGCAGAAAAATGCATGGAGGTGCATTGTCTGTATACAACCAATTACTGGCATAACGAATGAAACCATACACCATTATTTTTGACCCAACTTGCCTGACCTGAAAACCCAAGCCTGAACTGACTCTTCACTATGGAAACTAAGCAGCTTGAATCCATTTGGCTGGAAAATTTTCTGAAAAAGTTACTCATTAATAATGTGAAAATAATCAATACTACGACGAATTCTTGGAATACAAGATGCTAAATAAGAGATCCATAGATTTTTATTGTACTCTTTAAGGTACAATAATAGAAAGGTAATTGGGTGCCTATTTGCCTTATGAAAAGAAATATGGTAGTTCAAATTTTTGCTATTTGTTATTTTATCTTAGGTAAGTTATATAAACTCTCTGTATTTACCATCTGATCTAAGTTAACTTCTTATCTGTAAAATGAGGATAATAAAACTCGATAGGCATATTGTAAGGATTAAATGAAGTAATTCACAAAATATCTAATATAAAAATGATCTAATATAGGGTATAATACATAGTAATTACTCACTATACGACTGTTTGTTATGCATATTGAAAATAATATTGTATCTAATAATAATTTGACAATATTATGTGATATATCCCCCAAGGAATTCCATGCAGAGAATGTTGCCTTTTTTGTTTGAAATGACCCTGACACCTAGGAGATTATTGCTTACCAGAAATTAAAAGGAAGAATTACATTTAAAATCTATTGTCTTAAAAAAATTATTCTTGGCACATACTTGCATTTCAAGGTTACAGGCTAGGGCTTTGCTGAGATAACATTCCAAGCTACAGCATTGCCAAGCAAAGGGTTTGTTCTGAGTTTTGATGCTAACCTAAAACTCTATAAATGGAGTAATCTTCTGAGAAAGAAAATTAATTTTCTTTGAGCCAAATTGAAATAAGAATTGGACTAGAAATAATCACATTCACTTACTCTTAAAAGAGTTATAATAATAGCAAAGAACTGGAGTATGACTTATCCCAGCTCTTGAAATGACTTGGAATACCCTTGAAAGGAGCCACAAATGTTAGAACACACTGGCCGGGCAGTGTGAGTAGGCATATGTTGCGATGTTTTGGATGTCAGGGTGATAAGATTCAAGTGGCGGCAGTAGTGGTGAGCTGGATAGATTTACGGGCTTTATCCCATGGAACTGAGATGTAGGCTATCTCTTCTTGCAGGTAATTCATTTTAGTAAAACTCCCTATTACGATAGAAAATTAATTCTCATCCTGAGTGCAGTCACAGAAATTCTGAAAGATGCTCAGTTTACTTTATCTCATTGGGAAATTGAGAGAATGAGGCTGTGGGAGGAATGTCCTAGTGGGCAGGTTTGTAGAAAGGGGAGGACGTGAGGAAGTGCTCAGACTCCCTCCTGGACTTGCAGCTGTTTTTGTGAAGCAGCTGTGGGCCGGGCCGGGCCGGGCTGGGCCAAAGAGTGAAGACTGACTAAGGCTGGTTTTAAGAGGCATAAAACATGTATTTGGTGTGTGTGTGTGTGCATCAGACTAGCCTATTATTAATTCATTCTTAGATGGTGCTTTTTGGAAAATTTCAAGTTCATAATCATGTACATTTAGTCATGTATTAAGCATTGTTTTAGGCACAGTCAACGTATTATTTATTTCTAAAACAAAATCTTTTTTTGTTGCCGTTACCTCTGAACCTTCATTTCACAGATGAGAAAGTTGAGTGAGCTATTAAGTACCTTGCTCAAGTCCACACTACTTAGAAGCACTGACGTTCGAATCTAGATATGTCCAAAGCCTGTCAGAAAGCCAACAGTTCTCAATTTGGTTTTAATTTTAGGACTCCTTACTCTCTTAAATTATTTTTGTGGGT